TCCATCTTTACTAACGACATGCCACTGGCTTTGAGTAAAGCCAGTGTGTCTATGTATGCAGATGACTCAACACTATACACGTCAGCTGCTACAGCAACAGAAATAACTGCAACACTTAATAAAGAGTTGCAGTTAGTTTCGGAATGGGTGGCAAGGAATAAGTTAGTCCTAAATATTTCCAAAACTAAAAGCATTGTATTTGGGTCAAGTCATTCACTAAACCCTAAACCTCAACTACATCTCGTAATGAATAATGTGGAAATTGAGCAAGTTAAGGTGACTAAACTGCTTGGAGTAACCCTGGATTGTAAACTGTCGTGGTCAAAGCATATTGATACAACAGTAGCTAAGATGGGGAGAAGTATGTCCATAATTAAGCGCTGCTCTGCCTTCTTAACAACACTATCAACAAGGCAGGTCCATAGGCCCTAGTTTTGTCACACCTAGACTACTGTTCAGTAGTGTGGTCAGGTACCACATGGAGGCACTTGGGAAAACTGCAGTTGGCTCAGAACAGGGCAGCACGGCTGGCCCTTAAAAGTACACAGAGAGCTAACATTAATGACATGCATGTTAGTCTCTCCTGGCTTAGAGTGGAAGAGAGATTGACTTCATCACTGTTTTTTTTTAAAGAGTTGTAGACAAGCTGAATGTACCGAGCTGTCTGTTTGGGAATGCTGGACACCCATGCATACCCCACGAGACATGCCACCAGAGGTCTCGTCACAGTCCCCAAGTCCAGAACAGACTATGGGAAACGCACAGTACTACATAGAGTCATGAATACATGGAACTCAATTCCACATCATGTAACTCAGTCAAGCAGTAAAATCAGATTTTAAAAACAGATAAAACAACACTTTATGGAACAGCGCGGACTGTAAAGAGACACACACACACACACACACAGGCACACACACAGCTTTCGCAAACACATGCTAACACACGCACTCTACACACACAGTGTGTAATAAGTTGTTGTGTTATGTATTGTTTTATTGTATGTAAATTGTGGTTGGACCCCAGGAAGAGTAGCTGCTGCCTTGGCAGCCACTAATGGGGGATCTGTAATCAATACAAAAATACAAATTTGGTTGGGAATCATTAATGTACAGCAATATTCAAACCTTGTCTATTTTCATATATTGTGCTGGCAGCATCATGTTATGAGTATGCTTGTCATCGGCAGGGACTGGGGAGTTTGTCACGATCAAAATACATTTAAAAGGAGCCAAGCCCAGGTAAAAAGTTAGAGGTAAACCCCCCTCAGTCTTCTGGAAACCTAACCCTGGGATAGTTGTACTTTTCAGCGAGACAATTACACAAATGTTGATGCCAAAGACACACCAGATTGGCTTTCAAAGAGGTGTTGAGTGTTCCTGAGTGGTCTAGTCAAGGTTAGAATATTGCAGTCCATCACTGATTCCCAACCAAATGTAATGACCTTGAGCAATTTTGACTAAGAAAATGTACACTGAACAAAAATATAAAGTGTAAAGTGTTGGTCCCATGTTTCATGAGCTGAAATAAAAGATTCCAGAAATCTTCCATACGCACAAAAAGCGTATTTCTCTCAAATGTTGTTCACAAGTTTGTTTACTTCCCAGTTAGTGAGCATTTGTCCTTTGCCAAGAATAATCCATCCACCTGACAGGTGTGGCATACCAAGAAGCTGATTAAACAGCATGAACATTACACCGGTACACCTTGTGCTGGCCATGATAAAAGTCCCCTCTAAAATATGCAACTTTGTCACACAACACAATGCCACAGATGTCTCAAGTTTTGAGGCAGTGTGCAATTGGCATGCTGACTGCAGGAATGTCCACCAGACATATGGCCAAAGAATTTAATGTTTATTTCTCTACCATAAACCGCCTCCAACGTCGTTGTAGAGAATTTGGTAGTATGTCCAACTGGCCTCACAACCACAGACCATGTGCATGGCTTCGTGTGGGGGAGCGGTTTGCTGACATCAACGTTGTGAACAGAGTGCCCCATGATGGCGGTTGTGTTATGGTATGGGCAGGCATAAGCTACGGAAAACGAACACAATTGCATTTTATCAATGGCAATTTGAATGCACAAAAATACTGTGATGAGATCCCGTTGCCCATTGTGAGGCCCATTTTTTAAAAGGTTTCTGTGACAAACAGATGCATGTCTGTATTCCCAGTCATGTGATATCCATAGATTAGTGCCTAAGGAATTTATTTCAATTGACTGATTTCCTCATGTGAACTGTAACTCAGTGAAATCTTTGAAATTGTTGCATGTTGCGTTTATATTTTGGTTCAATGTATATATATGCTGCCATAAGAGTTGTCATTTCAAAAGAGTCACAGCTATAATGGCTGCCAAAGGTGCTGCCACCAATATTAACTCAGGGTTGTGTAGACTTTTCCAATTCTGATATTTCAGTTTTTAAATTTTCTCTTAATTTGAACATTTTCTACAGCTTTCTTTCACTTTGAAAATGTGGAGTAGGTTGTACTGTAATGTTGAGTGAAAACTGTACAGAGGAGCTCATGTCAGTCGTACGGTTGTGTGTGTGTGTCCTGACCCCTTCCCTAGAGGAGTAATGCTTCAGCTGTGAGTAAGGGGCAATTCTGTGATGAATGTGACGGGGTTCAAGGGTTACAGGAAAGTACACCGAGACACACAAACCATTTCTCACCACATCTGACGTGTAGCAGATCACAGTAGCACTCCCAGAGAAAACACACTCACACCTCATTTCTCATGCGTATGACAACAACCACACACACACACCTCATTTGTCATGTACGTTCTCGCTAGCCCTGGCATGTATTTGGCCACAGAATACATAATTTATCCTGAGAAAAATGCAGTCACACAAAAAGGAAAAACCACAGCAACATACTATTATATTATTTACTTTATTAAATCCAACCGTCAGTTTGTTTTTATTACAATGTATTAGATACTAATCATGGGAGATAATTATTAACACTGTTGGATATTTTGGTAAATGGTTCTGAATTTGAGCACTGCACGCAACAAGAAGTTTCCCCCATCCCTCCCGCTAATTGGGCAACTTTTTCTGAGTGAGGGAAAAGCTGTAATTGAAGAGAACTCAATGTATTTTGAAAGATGAGATATTGAGGATTATAATAAATATCTCTTTGATGTCATACAAGCAAGCCAAACACCCGTGAGTCCAAATGTGCACTTCACATTTCCATATCATAATACTCATGTGTCAACATTTATGATCACAATGTTTGATGTACAGTTACAAGATGACATAGTGTCATACCCTGGGTTGTCCTGAACAGAATTTTGTCTATTGTGAAGAACATTTGCTGTGGAACACGCACCTGAATGCAAGCATGACTCCTTTCTATGCGCACCAAAATAACAATCTGTTTCTCTGAATTGCCTTGTGAAAGCCTAACACTGTAAGATAGTATTTTTTAACTTAGCTAGTCATGTTGGCAATAGAACAAGCTTTCAAATGATGCCCACTTGACCCAGATTTCGATTTAAAAGGGGCGGTTTTTGGATTGTGTAAACAACAGAAGTAATTGTGTGATGGCGGGAATGCTGGGTTTCTGTTCCAAACAAAACAACTACAAGTGTGTTTGCTCTAGTTCCTCAACGGCACAACTAGAAGAGCAAAAAAAAAATTACTTGACTGTTCTTTGAGTCATAAAATTGCATTGAAATAACTTATGAACTGTGCACACTTTGGAGAGGTGTGTGTGTGTGGCCGCTTGGAGACATCAGTTAGTCTTCTCACTCAAACCCTTCAACATGTTTTGTCTTATGTTGCACCTACCCCATATTCTCCAGGTATATTCTTATAATATTACAGAATGTATCCAGAGTATTTTCAGATTTAGTTATCAACAAATGTGGCGAAAAGTACACAATGTAAAATGCACATAAAATCAGCAGTGTAATGTTTGGATTCAGTATTGTCCTCAACTTTGGTCTAATAATTTTCCCATAATCTCCAAACTGTCCCCTTTCAATTGCTACCATGCTTATGCATATTTCTTCTGTAAGAAACATTTCAATTTAGGTTTAAACCCCATCTTAGCCTCTCCCCCTCCCTCTCTCTCACTCTCCCTCTCCCCTTCTCCCTCTTTCTCTGTTTCTCCGTCCATTTTCCCCGTGTGATAATAGCGGAGCTCTTAATGGATGAGATAGAGGGGCGATGCACAATAGCAACGGAGACATGGTAACATGTGGCCCATTGTGGATAACCGCATCGCGGCCTAATAACTGGGTCACTATTTGTCTATCTGTGCACGGAGCATCGTGTGTGTCGTGGAGATGTGTGTGTGTGTGTGTGTGTGTGTGTTTTTAGGGGAGGAGAAGCGGGGGTTGGACCGAGGGTCCTGGCTGGCCAAGGGCGTAGGGATCGGGGGAGGGGTGAGGTAAGCGGGAGGCCCCCCCTGTATGTGTCATTTACGAGGGGGTTGAGACAATGGAAGAGGGGGGTGACACAATGAAAGTGGCAAGGCAGAAGGACGTAATTGGGACCCTCCTTTTGTTTTGGCGTTTTTTCCCCCGTTCTTTTTTTCTCGTGCTCTACTGTTTGATTGCGCCGTTTTTTTGTATTTTCCCTCTTTCCTTTCTTCACATTTCACCCCGGTGGCTGTTGTTGTGGCACTAGCATGCCTGACTTAAAAATAGCCTCCCTCTCCTGAGAGATATGGAAGGAGAGCAAAACCGAAAGAAGAACAGATAGAGTTGATGGAGGAGAGAGAGACACTCACGGATGAGGCTGAACCCAGGTCCGTCTGGCCATTGTCTTGTCTAAAGGTCTTTGACTAGGTGATTGATATCAACTGAAGATATTGTTTGATTCATTAATTGATTGGTGTCCCTGTTATTGGACTAGTGGAGAGCGAGTGACTGAGATACCAACAGTAGACTTGGCTAACTATGTGTGGTGTGTGTGTGTGTGTGTGTGTGTGTGTGTGTGTGTGTGTGTGTGTGTGTGCGTGCACATGTGTGTGTATACACAGGATGCCAGCCATGCACTGACCCGCAGAGGGGAACCAAAAGACCGACTGAGGCTTGACTTCCCCACCACAGCCAAGATGAGCCGGGTCACACTCAGGTAGGGGGTGTGTGTGTGTATACACAACTACATATTCTCGTGTGTGTGTGGATTGATATGTTTACAAGGTTTGTTTGTGTGCTGTTCTCTTGTTTCATAAGTATGTTTATGTGTTTGCGTATCTGTTAACGCTGTCATTTTACTTGTTTCTTTTTATGTGCGTGCATCTCTCTCTCTCACTCTCTTCTCTCTTCTCTGTCCCTCTATTGAGAGGGATTACAAATGCCCCCGTTCTTTGTTCTCCTGCTGTGACTAGATTAAACTGCCTTAGCCATGAGAGTGCGAGAGAGTTTTTAGTCCACCATACCTTTGACTCCTGCCCAGTGGCTGACCAGAGACTTCCCACTCTGCAAGCTGAATTTGTAGAGACCTGAATAGGGTGGGTGTGTGTCTCTCCATGGCAACCGCTGCTCTCTGTCAGTGCTGAGGCTGCCGCCCATGGCTAGTGCCCCAAGGGACCATAATATCCCTGTCTGTCAGTGGTCATGTGACTCCCTGTGGTGTGTGACTGTGTGTGTGTCTCCACTTCCTGCAGTTGTCACTTGTCAGTGCCAGGAGCCAGGATGCACAACCTAAACTGATATACAGCAAACCATGACCGATCTATTGACAGTGTGCTCCAATATTTCCCTTACAATTTAAGAATGGATTCGATGCGTATAGAGCTCAAAGAGCTTTACTTTGTAAACGGAGAGAACTCAACTAGCTTACTAGCAGTGAAAACACATTCAACACCAGCAATTGGCTTCGTTTATCACCAATAATTTACCCCCCAAAAAAAGGAAAGCAAGTATGTTAGTGAGGAGATTCTTCAGACCAAAGTTGATCTACGACTAGTCAGTAAAGAGTGGGTGTTCCCATCTGTCTTTCTCTCGCTCTTTTCATCCCCCTCTCTCTCTCTCTCTCTCTCTCCCCCTTTCCCTCCCTCTCTCCACCACCTCAGAGGAATGGATGTGTTTGTTTGTGTATGCACGGGATGCTAAAAAGGGAGAGGAGCGTAGCATGCATGTATTATAGCCCGGCGCTAACAAGCTCTGGCTTCCTCTGATCAGCTTGTTTGTGCCAGCGTTTGTTTTTATGAATGTAAATTGGTTGCAGAGAAGGGCGTGTGTGCGCGTGTGTGTGTGTGTGTGTGTGTGTGTGTGCATGCGCACAGGTGCTTGTGTGTATCCCCCCAACCCAGGGATGCAGGTGTACTCTTTATCTACGTACTTCCCAATAAACAAAAAGGACAGAACAGAGGAGAGATCAATAGAATAAATGATAGTGATGCGTTTGAGTCTCTCTTTCACCAGTTTATCTCCAAAGCACTGAGCTGTGGCTTTCAACGAGAGATGAATAAGGACAACACAGCCCGATACTGAGAGAGCACGGCCTTTGATAGAGATAGAGGTCCCATAGATAAGATCAGAGGAAACCGCAGAGTTTGTATGTGTGTGCATTTTCACGTGTGCTTGTGTGCATTTGCGTGTGTGTGTGAGTTTGCACAAGTGTTTGTGTGCGTAGAGCCCAGGGACATGACTAATGTATGAGAATCGTTATGGTAGTCATTAGTGTGTGCAGTATAATGATGACTAGGGAAGGGTTGTTGTTCTGAGAAAGGACAGAAGAGAAACAGTTACTGTGGGAAGTCCAGGATATGTTAGAATTGACTACCTGTTGTATCTCCTCTGTCTCTGTCACACTGTTCTGTTTAACCTTCGCTAGGGTCACATACACACACACGCGCACACACACTCACACACTGCATACATACAGTACTGGATTGTACTGTGCACAACCTCTATCAAATGACATTCACACATACTCACACATCCAATTATGTTCAGGCGAACACACACTCACACAGCCTTACCTAAATTGAATGCATGCAAACATGCATCCATACACTGTGTGTGTGTCACTGTGTGTGTGTCACTGTGTGTGTGTCACTGTGTGTCTACCATGTCCTTTCTGCTCTCCTCTATGTTGTTGCTGAAGGCTTATATGATAGGCAGTTGATTACCTGCTCATTCAGGTTGATTTGCTTGCGTCTGATTGTCTCTCGCCCTCCCTTTCATCCTTTGTTCCTCTTTTGCTGACTTACCTAATGCTCGTTCCTCTCTCTCTCCCTCCTCTTTCTCTTTCTCTCTCTCACCCTCCCTCTCTTTCTTTTTCTTTGATGCATAACCACTGTAATCACGGATCCTGTTCTCCTTCTCTCTCTCCCTCTTTCTCCCCCTTGCTTCCCTCCCCTCTCCCTCCCTCCCTCCCTCCCTCCCTCCCTCCCTCCCTCTCTCCTGTTTGTGTGTATGAGTCACAGTCAATTCTCCTGTGTTCATAGCAGACCCCAGAGCCACACAACCAATTACATTGCCCTAATGAGCACAGAGCAGGACAGGCAGCCAGCCAGCAGGTCATCCCTGGTCTGTGTGTGTGTGTGGACATAGTGTGTGTGTGCGAGTATGTGTGTTTGCATATGCATGATTTTATTGGATTTATTTTTATTATAGTGTCATCTATCTTCAGGATGCCCAGCCCACAAGGGCCTATAGGACATTGAATACATTTACATGCACACTAATAATTCGAAATTAAACTGATTATGGCAGTAGGCCGAGTATGACAATAGTCATGTAAACACTTTACTCTGCTTATCTTAAAAGGTCAAAATCGAAGTAAGCATACGCCGATTAAAACACCAGGTTTTTTTTTTAGCAATCTTTTTGAATTATTAGGACATTTAAACAGCTTAATCAGCGTTCCCGCTGTGTATTTGTTCTGCGCATGTGCTAGCAACAGTAGCGCACGCCTCCCACTAATGCGCGAGTATGTCCGAACATCGAATAGGCTTTGCAAAAATAACATGGTCGCTGTGGTAGAACGTTTATTTTGATTGTTGATTTTCTGCATTTATTGAAGTCCCATCAGTAGCCTGATTTCAGATGTGTCCATGTAAACAGGAGTATTAAGGAAATCGTTCTTCTTGCAAAGCATGTAAACGTTTTAAATAAACTATTATATTAATCTATGCACAATAATTGTATTATTGTGTGCATGTAACCGCACTCACTTTACTCTAGCCAAAAATTATCATACATACATACAGTGCATTCGGAACGTATTCAGGCTCCTTCCCTTTTCCTCATTTTGTTACGTTACAGCCTTGTTCTAAAATGTCTTAAATATTTTTTTACCCTCATCATTCTACACACAATACCCCATAATGACAAAGCGAAAACAGGTTTTTAGAAATGTTTGCTAATTTACATAACTATTCAGACCCTTTGCTATGAGACTCGAAATTGAGTTCAGGTGCATCCTGTTTCCATTGATCAATCAAGTTGTAGAAGTCCACCTGTGGTAAATTCAATTGATTGGACATGATTTGGAATGGCACACACCTGTCTATATAAGGTCCCACAGTTGACAGTGCATGTCAGAGCAAAAACCAAGCCATGAGGTCAAAGGAATTGCCCGTAGAGCTCCGAGACAGAATTGTGTCGATGCACAGATCTGGGGAAGAGTACCAAAACATTTCTGAAGCCTTGAAGGTCCCCAAGAACACAGTGGCCTCCATCATTCTTAAATAGAAGAAGTTTGGAACCACCCAAGACTCTTCCTAGAGCTGGCCGCCCCGCCCAACTGAGCAATCGGGGAGAAGGGCCTTGGTCAGGGAGGTGACCAAGAACCCGATGGTCACTCTGACAGAGCTCCAGAGGTCCTCTGTGAAGATGGGAGAACCTTCCAGAAGGACAACCATCTCTGCAGCACTCCACCAATCAGGCCTTTATGGTAGAGTGGCCAGACGGAAGCCATTCCTCAGTAAAAGGCACATGACAGTGTTAGCAGTTGATGTTATTCTTCAATAACACAGACCCCAACGCAAATCAGGGGGAGAAAAATATATTTATTCAAAGAGAACAAATCATAGTTGTTATGCTGGGAAGTAGATGGTAATGTTCATTCTTCCCTGTTCTCAATGTTTCTCCACTGAACAAAGAGACAGGATGCAGTTTATAGCCTCAAGCCTAGCATATAGCTATTTTCATCCATATCGTGTAAACCATTTAGCATTTAGAGCACTTTTTGTATATTGTCCCCCCAATTCACTTATGTGTATTAAAGTAGTCATAAGTTTAGTATTTGGTCCCATATTCCTAGCACGCAATGACTACATCAAGCTTGTGACTCTACAAACTTGTTGGATGCATTTGCAGTTGGTTTTGGTTGTGTTTCAGATTATTTTGTACCTAATAAAAAATGTATGGTAAATAATGTATTGTGTCATTTTGGAGTCACTTTTATTGTAAATAAGAATATAATATATTTCTAAACACTTCTACATTCATGTGGATGCTACCATGGATATGGATGATCATGAATTAATTGTGAATAATGATGAATGAAAAGTTACAGAGGAACAAAGGTCATACCCCCCAAAAAATGCTAACCTCCCCTGGCATTGGTAATGGTGAGAGGTTAGCATCTCTTGGGGGTATCTTTGTGCCTCTGTGTCTTTCTTACTCATCATTATTCACGATTCATTCAGGACTATCTGTAATCATGGTAGCATCGACATTAATGTAGAAGTGTTCACAATGCATTCCTAGGGAAATGAAAAATAATTGAAACTCAAAACAAAAAGCCTTGTAAGCCTTCTAAGCTTGGGAAATAACATTTGCATCCAGGAACACTTCTTTTTCTAAATAGGCATTCAAGTCTTTCTTAATCACTAATCCAGAATAGTTGTGGTTTCTGTTGTTGCATTTTTTCAAACAAGGTTACTCTTCATTCATCAAATAAAGTACAGTAAAATAAAAGTGCCGTTCATTCTCCATCTTCCCTAAATTGCAGACTGTACATAGCCGCTTTTTTTCATCAATGGCATTGAACCTACCTTCTTAAATTGCCAGAGGCAGTATACCGGTTCTCAACTGGTCCTACAGAGACCTTTGATGCACATTTGATTGTGTGTGAATGTGTGGCCTGCCAGATCTAGTCATTAGCTCCACTCCCCTGCTCAGCGGTGTGTTGGTAAAGTCACTGAGGTGGATCTAAATCTATGCAGGTTCTCTGAGGGAATCCTTCCCCTCCATCTACTAGGGTCTAATGGCAGCCTGCCGTGTGCGTGTGCACGCGAGAAAGATTTGGTACAGTAGAGGGTGTGTGTATACAGTCTTTGAATGCGTCCCAAATGGTACCCTATTCTCTCTAAAGTACACTACTTTTGAACAAAGCCATAGGGCTCAACATAGGGCTCTGGTCAAAAGTAGTGCACTATATAGGGAATGTGGTGCCCTGTGGCCTGAAACCAATCATGTTAGAATGGCAAGCAGCTAAACCTAGCATCACACACCTCTCCGCTCCACCACGCTCCAGCCGCCATACATATACAACCTGACAGGGCAGGTTTCACACGCTTGCATAAGCGCAGCTGGACCATGTAAATGCCAGTTAATTTACCTTGACCTTGTTCACTCAACCACTGTCTGTCTCAGAGCGCGAAGGAAGGGGAGAGAGAGTTACTGTGTGTGTGTTTTTGTCTGTGTGTGCAAGGGTTAAAGTTATCCGTCACTGCGACGGATTTCCATCATAAGGATTCTGGAAAGGTTGTTTTTGAAATCAGTGTAGATCCGCAATAAAACTCTCCGGGGGGAGGGTCGGGGGACTGGTTTGGAGATGACAGCCTAATACAGAATCATGTCTGTTCTATGAAATAAATTCCCAAATAAATATATTCTCAAAAAATTTCTGAACTGACATGCATGTCTTGCTGACACTCCGATGTTCAGATGAAGGGCATTAAATAATATATAATGCTCACCACCGCAGCGTTCAACTCAAACTGAGGTGTGTAGCCTACTGTAACTGCTGGCAAAGTAATTCAAAGCCTATACTTTATCACTCAGGATGCTACTATTTTTGCCATGTAATGTTATTAAAATAATATCAGACAACCCCATAGTAGAAGAGTTTACCTATTTACCTAGTCGGCTTGTTGTTGTGTGTTCTATGCAAGATAAATATTCTTCTCGAGGCGCATTCAAGTTGTGAGAGCCATGGGGGAGGAGACATGTATTCTGACAAGCAATAATAATAACAATCAGGATGTTGTGTCCAATGGGGTAAATGCAGATGGACAATGCTTAAGCCTATGTATTTATAGCCACTATGCTGCATCATTTGGGCTACAGGTGATAATGCTTAAGGCTAATGGCACATCTGATAATATAGCCTATATATGGTCTATATTATCAGATGTTCCATTAGCAATAAGCTAATGGCACACATTTTAACAATCATTTTTACATACGTTTTACCAATATGTCATTGGGCTAATTTCTGGAGGTGGAAATTATATTTTAGATGGTGTCAGCATATACATTTTTATTAATTTCGGAGTAGAATGTCCTTTTAAAAAGTCACCAGAACTGAGCTTCTCAGTCCTCCTTCATAAAAATTATCCTGGGAAGGACCCCGGACTCCCTAAGCAAGAGAATCGGAATTGGTCAAACTCGCAGTTTAATACATGTACATAATGATCCTCTTTCCCTAAAAGTATGATGGTCATTACTTTTTTACATGAAAGGGGAGGTTTACTTGGCCCCAGACAATCGATCTGAGATTGTTTGAAATTTCAGTCATGGGATTTTTTTGGCTTTAACCCCTGTGTGTGTTCATCTCACAATTGCTAATAAAAGCTTGTAAATGTGAAGACTGAACGCACTCTAGAAAATTGATGTGGGTGTATGTATTACTGTGTGTTCCTATTTGTGTGTATCTGTGTTCCTGTTACCATTTGTGTGTGTGTATGAGAGAGTGTGTGTCAGTCTCTGACTGTGTGTTTTGTCTCTGCAGCCCCCTGACCAAGACAGTGGAACTCTCTGGAGAACAGGGACCGCTGGGGATCCACGTCGTCCCCTACTGCTCCTCACTGAGTGGACGGTGAGGAACACACACACTTACTTTCACTCCCTATACATTGAAGGCTGGTTTGTGTGTGTGTGTTCAAACTGTATGTATCATCCATTCTCAGGACCCTGGGCCTGCACATTAAAAGTATCGAGGCGAACAGTCGCTCCAAGAGAGAGGGCATATTCCAGGAGGATGAGTGCATCGTTCAGATTAACGGCACTGAGCTAATGGACAAGACCTTTGCCCAGTACGTACCTCAGCTCTACGCTATCACAGGATGTGTCCCAAATGTCTCCGTATTCCCTTTATGGTGCACTCCTTTTGACCAGGGCCCATAGGTCCCTGGTCGAAAGTAGTGCACTATGTAGGGAATAGGTTGCCATTTGAGACGCATCCTGTGTCATTTTGGATGCAAGCCTGCTCTACACTATCACACATCTACCAGTGTGAGGCCTGTCTGTCACTCAGTTTCCCTTTTATTTTCCCTTTTATTAGGAGCCCTTCTTAATCCCTGCTCTTCCAAATCCTCCCTATTGCTGGACTTATCTCACACCACATCTCCACAGCAACAAAAGAGTGTGAGAGAGAAAACGAAAGCGAGAAACACTCATTCTCTCGCTTCACTGTTGTCGGGAATAGGTTCATTTAGGACTATCACAGACTTCAAAAGGAGTGGGACAGTAGCTGTGAGGGCTAGAGAGTGAGAAAGATAAGAGAGAGACAAACAGAAAAAAAAGAGAGAATGGGGGGGGGCTTCATGGAGGATTGTCTAATCCCCTGCCTGAATGAAATGCCCAGTAAAAGAGGTGGACCTTGTTAGATCTGATAGCGTAGCCCAGAACAGGCTTGACAATAGGTCTGACACTGCTAGCCTGGTCCTTGAGAACCAGTCGCTACTAGTGACTACTACTAGAGATTACTTGTCTAAAGACTACTTGTCTTTAGTGAATTGTCTCTAGAGGGTGCAGTCTGTGACAGCTAGTCAATGCAGGTGTTGAATGAGAACTTAGTAAGCTTGAGTGTACTGGTGTTGGTACCAATGGAAGCTCTGTGCTTGGTCTACTAGTAGCTACTACTAGAGTGACAGTGTGATCTTCCAACACATTTCCATAAGTACATAGTGGAAAACCGTACAATCAAGTCGGATATAACAGTATTCTCAACATTCAGTTATGTGCTTACAGACATTGATGATGTCACTTCCTCCCACACCCACAGGTCCCAGGAAGTGTTCCGTCAGGCCATGTCTTCCCCTCTGGTGCGCCTGGAGGTCCTGCCGCTGGCCAACAAGCAGCGCTATGAGAAACGCCTCATCGGGCAGCTCTTCACCGACGGTCACGACTCCGTCCCCAAAGCCAAGAGCCCCCTCATGATCCACCGAAGAATGGACGCTAAACCAGAAGTGAAACCAGAAACCGTGAAACCAGAACAGATCAATCCCAAACTGGAGCCGAGACGTCCAGACCTCCATGTCCTCCGCTCCAAGACCCCCGATCTGCCAGCCTCTCTCACCCTGCAAGGGGAGCACCAGACTGGGCACATCCCCGAGGAGAGGCCCCTCAGTGTGTCCCCAGCGGTCAGGGATCGGGATGGGGCCTCCCCCACGGCGGTGGGGGGCAACGAGAGCCCCCTGCCCCAGGAAAAGAGTCCCACTTGGCTCCCTAACCTGACCAACCAGATGGGAGGCCGGAAGCTGAAGATTGACCTGAAGAAAGGTATGGAGACACTATGGAAAAGGGGGACACTAGATGTTATAGAGCACACTGAGATGATCCACTACTTTATTGGTTCACAACATTTTGATCAAAACGGATCTTCAACAGGTTTTCAATTTAGTTTTCAATCCAGTCGATTCAGTGAAATGAAATTTAAATCATGAATTGAATCATCATAGAAAACAAAGGACAAATCAGGATTTACATTTTAATTGAAAACGGAATTCTTAGGCTGCGTTAATACAGGCAGCCCAATTCTGTTATTTTGCCAAAAGATCAGAATTGGGCTGCCTGTGTAAACCCGGCCTTAGAGATTGTGGTTGTGCTCTTCTGTGGTTAAAGTGGCAATCAGCTGAAGAAACAATAACAATTTCATTCCACCCCTGTTTCGGTAAATAGCTGAGGCAGGGGTCTGGAGAAATGTAACCACTCTCAAATCGATAGTTGAGGGAGTTTTAACCATGTTTTGAGGCTATATAGTGTTTGTTTACATTTACTTTGTTTACAAACATTTGAGTAAAACAAGCTTATATTTTGTGATCTGATGGGGTACGACAGTTGAACTAAGCTCATGAGGCATTTATAAATTATATTCTTCAAGAATCAATGGGAACATACCAGTAATTTATAAGTCCAAAAATTGATGTAGCAACTGCTGATTGCCCCTTTAAAGTTTTCTCTCCCAGCGTGAGTGACTGCTAGGAGGTTTAGAAGCGTTAATGGAAGGTAGGCAGAAGCTTAGATGCCAGATGAGATTTGATCACTCGCTCACTATCTTTAGTATGCCACTTTTGGCTTTTCTCCACCGCTCACCATGGTGGCAGTTTTTACTCATTGCTTGGAGGCACGTACACACACAGGCATGCATGCGCACACACACAAACACACAAATAGATACACATGCGAGCTTGCACACACACACACACACACACACACACACACACACACACACACACACACACTCTTGAAATCACACTGTGAGTCCACAGGGAGAGGAGCCATGGAAGGGAACGATATCTCAGGATATCTCTCTCTCTCCCTCCCTCCCTCACCTCTCCTTCTTTCTCTCCCTTCACCTTCCTCCATCAGGCAGTGTGAGGCCTGCTCACACGTGAAATTGAAGGCAGCCCTCCTCTTAATCCACATAAGAAAACAGTTGTCCCACTGGCTTTGTGGCTGAGGTTACGTCCCAAATAGCACCCTATTCCATTTATAGTGCACTACTTTTACCAGGGCCAATGTGCACTATAAAGGGAATAGGGTGCCATTTGAGATGTAGCAGAGAGGGCCCCACGACAGACCAGTGGAAGATGATCACCAGTTTACTCAGGAGGAACCCACTAAGCCCCACACAGAATGCAGGGCGAGTGGAGAGATGTCGCCCTCCATTTATTAGCACACCAAGAGACCTTATTGCGACATGTTGGGATGACGTGGGGTCATGATGATGGGGAGTGGTCTGTCTGTAATGAAGAGACGCTCTGCTTTTTTGACACCACACTACACAAAGCAAGTCCTGCAGGCTCTAGTTTTATCTTATCTTGATTATTGTCCAGCCATATGGTCAAGTGCTGCAAAGAAAGACCTAGTTAAGCTGCAGCTGGCTCAGAACAGAGTGGCACGTCTTGCTCTTCATTGGAATCAGAGGGCTAATATTAATACTATGCATGCCAGTCTCTCTTGGCTAAGAGTTGAGGAAAGACTGACTGCGTCACTTCTTGTTTTTATAAGAAACAATGTGTTGGAAATTCCAAATGGTTTGCATAGTCAACTTACACACAGCACTGACACACACACTTACCCCGCCAGACATGCCACCAGGGGTCTTTTCACAGTCCCCAGGTCCAGAACAAATTCAAGGAAACATACAGTATTATACAGAGCCATGAGTGCATGGAACTCCCTTCCATCTTATATAGCGCAAGTGAACAGCAAACCTGGTTTCAAGAAAACGAATAAAGCAGCACCTCACGGCACAACGCCTCTCCCCCATGTGACCTACTTGTTTTGTGTATGTACTGACATGAATGTGTAACTGATAGATGCACACACACTACATGTTCATGTTTTTAAATGTATGTACACTACCGTTCAAAAGTTTGGGGTCACTTAGAAATGTCATTGTTTTTGAAAGAAAAGCAATTTTTTTGTCCATTAAAATAACATCAAATTGATCAGAAATACAGTGTAGACATTGTTAATGTTGTTTAATGGCTATTGTAGCTGGAAACTGCTGATATCTCAGACTGGCCAATAAAAAGAAAAGATTAAGATGGGCAAAAGAACACAGTCACTGGACTTTTTCTTTGCAACTCTGCCTAGGTCAGCATCCTGGAGTCGTCTCTTCACTGTTGACGTTGAGACTGGTGTTTTGCGGGTACTATTTAATGAAGCTGCCAGTTGAGGACCTGTGGGGCGTCTGTTTCTCAAACTAGACACTAATGTATTTGTCCTCTTGCTCAGTTGTGCACCGGGGCCTCCCACTCCTCTTTCTATACTGGTTAGAGCCAGTTTGCACTGTTCTGTGAAGGGAGTAGTATACAGTGTTGTACAAGATCTTCAGTTTCTTGGCAATTTCTCGCATGGAATAGCCTTCATTTCTCAGAACAAGAATAGACTGACGAGTTTCAGAAGAATTTCTTTGTTCCTAGCCATTTTGATCCTGTAATCGAACCCACAATTGCTGATGCTCCAGATGCTCAACTAGTCTCAAGAAGGCCAGTTTTATTGCTTCTTTAATCAGCACAACTGTTTTCAGCTGTGCTAACATAATTGCAAAAGGGTTTTCTAATGATCAATTATCCTTTTAAAATGATAAACTTGGATTAGCAAACACAACGTGCCATTGGAACACAGGACTGATGGTTGCTGAAAATGGGCCTCTGTACGCCTATGTAGATATTCCATAAAAAATCTGCCGCTTCCAGCTACAATAGCCATTTACAACATTAACAATGTCTACACTGTATTTCTGATCAATTTGATGTTATTTTAATGGACCAAAAAATTGCTTTTCTTTCGAAGTGACCCCAAACTTTTGAACGGTAGGGTAAATTGTAAAGTATTTTGTCTGTAATCTCTTTTTTGTTATATTTTGGATCCCAGTAAGACTAGCTGTCGCCATTGGCGTCGGCTAATGGGGATCCTAATAAATCAAATCAAGGATGGGAAAGATAGTATAGCGAAGACTGTTTCATGGATAACTGATAATATCCCTCTGTCCCCCACTCCCCTCTGTCTCTCTTTTGTTTTTTCATCTCTTTTCCTCTCTTCTTAATTCTCTCTTTCTTTCCCTCTCTCTGTCCCTCTATCGTTCCTTTTTAAAAAACATCTTTCTCCTTCTCTTTCTCTCCCTGTTTCTCTCTCCCCAACCCCTCCCACTCTCCCCTCTCTCACTCTCCAGGTACCGAGGGGCTGGGTTTCACCGTGGTGACCCGGGACTCGACGGTCCATGGCCCGGGGCCCATCCTGATCAAGAACATCCTCCCCCGCGGCGCCGCCATCAAAGATGGCCGCCTGCAGACTGGCGACCACATCCTGGAGGTGAAACAGTCATTCGACCTCTGACCTTTGAATTCCTTAAAATTCGCATTCACCTGTCCATTCATTTCTAATCATCAGTGATTGCTTCATGGAAGGGAGGAAGGAAGCACTTTTTAAAGAATTCAAACAGTGCCATCTGTGGCTGATTAAACTAGTTGTATTTTTTTCTGGAAGGTGGTCATTAAGCCTGTAAGTATCTAGGTGGAAATATTTACAGTGAGGGAAAAAAGTATTTGAAAAAATGTTAAAGCGGTATTTTGACATGCATAGGTAAGAGCTGTGCTTTTGCTAGGAATTTTCATGCGAGTCAGGATATTGGGTTTCAGTGGGATTGGGACTGGATAGGAAAATAGCCTAGGCTCTATATGAGGCTATATACAGTGAGGGAAAAAAGTATTTGATCCCCTGCTGATTTTGTACGTTTGCCCACTGACAAAGACATGATCAGGCTATAATTTTAATGGTAGGTTTATTTGAACAGTGAGAGACAGAATAACAACAAAAAAATCCAGAAAAACGCATGTCAAAAATGTTATGAATTGATTTGCATTTTAATGAGGGAAATAAGTATTTGACCCCTCTGCAAAACATGACTTAGTACTTGGTGGCAAAACCCTTGATGGCAATCACAGAGGTCAGATGTTTCTTGTAGTTGGCCACCAGGTTTGCACACATCTCAGGAGGGATTTTGTCCCACTCCTCTTTGCAGATCTTCTCCAAGTCATTAAGGTTTCGAGCCTGACGTTTGGCAACTCGAACCTGCAGCTCCCTCCACAGATTTTTTATGGGATTAAGGTCTGGAGACCTCCAGGACCTTAATGTGCTTCTTCTTGAGCCACTCCTTTGTTGCCTTGGCCATGTGTTTTGGGTCATTGTCATGCTGGAATATCCATCCACGACCCATTTTCAATGCCCTGGCTGAGGGAAGGAGGTTCTCACCCAAGATTTGACGGTACATGGCGCTGTCCATCGTCCCTTTGATGCGGTGAAGTTGTCCTGTCCCCTTAGCAGAAAAACACCCCCAAAGCATAATGTTTCCACCTCCATGTTTGACGGTGGGGATGGTGTTCTTGGGGTCATAGGCAGCATTCCTCCTCCTCCAAACACAGCGAGTTGAGTTGATGCCAAAGAGCTCGATTTTGGTCTCATCTGACCACAACACTTTCACCCAGTTCTCCTCTGAATCATTCAGATGTTCATTGGCAAACTTCAGACGGGCCTGTATATGTGCTTTCTTGAGCAGGGAGACCTTACGGGCGCTGCAGGATTTCAGTCCTTCACGGCGTAGTGTGTAACCAATTGTTTTCTTGGTGACTATGGTCCCAGCTGCCTTGAGATCATTGACAAGATCCTCCCGTGTAGTTCTGGGCTGATTCCTCACCGTTCTCATGATCATTGCAACTTCACGAGGTGAGACCTTGCATGGAGCCCCAGGCCGAGGGAGATTGACAGTTCTTTTGTGTTTCTTCCATTTGCGAATAATCGCACCAACTGTTGTCACCTTCTCACCAAGCTGCTTGGCGATGGTCTTGTAGCCCATTCCAGCTATGTGTAGGTCTACAATCTTGTCCCTGACATCCTTGGAGAGCTCTTTGGTCTTGGCCATGGTGGAGAGTTTGGAATCTGATTGATTGCTTCTGTGGACAGGTGTCTTTTATACAGGTAACAAACTGAGATTAGGAGCACTCCCTTTAAGAGTGTGCTCCTAATCTCAGCTCGTTACCTGTATAAAAGACACCTGGGAGCCAGAAATCTTACTGATTGAGAGGGGGTCAAATACTTATTTCCCTCATAAAAATGCAAATCAATTCATAACATTTTTGACATGCGTTTTTCTGGATTTTGTTGTTGTTATTCTGTCTCTCACTGTTCAAATAAACCTACCATTAAAATTGTAGACTGATCATTTCTTTGTCAGTGGGCAAACGTACAAAATCAGCAGGGGATCAAATACTTTTTTCCCTCACTGTATTCTATGTATTTATGTGCACTGTGTATATACTGTACATATTTTAACCCTTTCCTGTGATGTGTGTGTCTGTGTGTAGGTGAACGGAGTAGACATGACGGATCGAACTCAGGAGGAGCTGGTGGCCATGCTGCGCAGCACCAAGCAGGGGGAGTGTGTCTCTGTGGTGGTGGCCAGACAAGAGGAGATCTTCCTACCCAGAGTGCTGGTGAGAACACACACATCTTTATCTCTCTCTAGCCACCTCCAATTGCTCTTGACTCTGCATGATCTTTGATGCAGATACGTTACCAGGAATTTTCACCTTGCCCCTATTTGTCTTATAAATGTTGTTACCTTTCGAAACGTCTTTGTCTTTCTATTACTATTGAAAGGCATTCAACCTCAACTTTGAACTGCCCTTTTGCCCCCTGCACGCATGCCCTCACCTACAAACAAACACACTCGCACAGACACACACACACACCCATTGAGGCCCAGCACACGTGCCCAGCGCCCCATTCCTCTTCCTGCCGTTATCTGGGTTTGTTGACTCAGAGGCCGACAGGAAGTCACACACACGTCCCTGCGGCCTCACAGGAAGTGGTGCGTGTCGACACACACGGGTGTTAAGTGACCGTTTACCTGTGGCCAAAGACCTCTCTGACTCCTCACTGAGTGGCGTGTTTTTACCCCCTTATCTAAATAAGCTGCCCGTCAGCTGCCCAGGCGGTACCCTATAGGAGTGTGTGTGTGTGTGTGTGTTGGTCGTCTCAGGAAATAGCGCTCTGTCCTTGTGTGCCACTCACTACTCCTGTAATTATTCACATTATTCAATTTCCTCAACTTCAAAGGATTCAGGAGGGACAACTCCGACGCTTTGTAGTGAACGATGCATATTCACATGAAAACACACACACACACAGTTCCCTCATTAGCCCTTATTAAAAGACCCTACATTTCCACAACATCCACACTAAGGTGCTTCTTGACTTCCTCTTTTATCTAGTTTTTTTAAAACTCTGCCTTTATCTGGGCTGTTGAAGTTGGAGGCCCTTGGAGATAAACTCCTTATCTTCTCTGCAGGCCTCTTCCGCTAAGATAGTTTGATGTCCCTCAAACTCATGTACATGTTGACACTCACTCAAGTTCAGCAATGCTCATACACAGAACTTATGCAGGCAGGCACGTGCACACGCATGCACTCGCACACGCACACACACAATCAACCACAACTCACTCCAATACCTTAAACTTCCACATTTAGATGCAATGGTGGTCCATTGTACAGTAGACACATTCATACATAACACTTGTCTTCTCTCCTTATTATGCCTCAGTCACAACCCTAATACTGCAGCTGCACTCACAAAGCCCCCAACACAAAGACCCATCTATTCAGCCTCAGCACATGACACCAGGCCTGAATACATATTTATAAAAAAGAATGTTCCTCCCCGATCCATTCTAATGTAATTGGGTTAGCATCTCCCAGCTCTGTGAAGTGTCCATTTATAGCTGTGTGTGTGTGTTTGCGTGTGTGCGTGCGTTTCTATGGGCTATAAGTAGTAAAGGCCCCAAAAATAAAATAAATGAATACCTAAAGGGGAACTACAATTTCGAAATCAAATAGCTAAATGATCCATGGAGCAGCTTGCGATGCCCATCAGCCTTGTTACTTTATCCTCAAGAAGGCGCGATCTTGAGGCCGTGTTTACTCTGTTTAGGAGGAAGAATCCCCTCTCGACGGGCACACTGAAAACGAGGACAATCAACACAATCTTTGCCAATTTTGCCCAGTCGGGGTACACTTAGCTGAAGTCCCTTATGAGGACCTTGCGTCTTTTGCGTGAGTAAAAATAGAAACTCACACCCGACACTAATTTCCAAGCACCTTGAGGATTTATTAGCTTATGAAGTCTATTTGCCTTTGAAGTTGGAGCACATCGACTGGTATTTCCATCAATGAATAAAATGCATTATGTTGTATAGTTTTTTTTATTTTTCTCCCGGACAATTTGGCCGGCAACAAAACATATATATATATATTTTTTACTTTTACCCTTTTTCTCCCAAATTTTGTGATATCCAATTGGTAGTTACGGTCTTGTCACATCGCTGCAACTCCCCTACGGACTCGGGAGAGGCGAATGTCGAGAGCCATGCGTCCTCTGAAGCCGTACTGCTTCTTGACACACTGCTCACTTGACCCGGAAGCCAGCCTCACCAATGTGTCAGAGGAAACATCGTCCAGCTGGCGACCGAAATCACCTTGCAGGCGCCCGGCCCGCCACAAGGAGTCGCTAGAACGCCATGGGACAAGGAAATCCCGGCCGGCCAAAACCTCCACTAACCCGGACGACGCTGGCCAATTGTGCGCCGCCTCATGGGTCTCCCGGTCACTGCCGGTGTGACACAGCCTGGGTTCGAACCCGGGGCTGTAGTGACGCCTCAAGCACCATAGACCGCTGCGCCACTCGGGATAAAAAAATTATATATATATAGGCCAAAAGCCGGCATTTACCGGCTAATGGAAACCCTGGTGCGTGCGTGGACTGCACTCAGGAAAATGGCTTCTTCAATGAGCCCAAGATTAAAATATGAAAGATGAAATTATGAGATTGCAACGCATTTGTGTGAAGATGTGTATGTGTTCATAATGTGACTTTAAAATGCCAGTTAGAGTCAACTACATTACAACCCACACTATTGTAATCAAATGTCCTATCCACCCTTACTTGTATGAAAGAACTGCAATCTCTTGTTTTGTGTGTGTGTCCGAGCGCACACAAATCATATATTGGCAACATATATTTTCTCATGAGATTTTAGCAGTTTGGGAAAAAGTAATATATTTCACCTCTGGGCTTGTCAGCAACAAAAGGGCATAGCTTACACGTACATATCCTTGTGGGGACCTAAAATAAATTCCATTCAAAATCCTATTTTCCCTAAACCTAAACCTTGCCATAAGCCTAACTTTAACCCGTAACCCAAACCCTAAACCTCAACCTAACTCCTAAACCTAACCACTAACCCCTTACCCTAATTCTAACCCTAATTGTAACCCTAAACCTAACCCCTAAGCTTAAAATAGCCTTTGTCCTCATGGGGACGTGGGAAATTTCCCCACGAGGGAGAATTTTCCTTGTTTTATTATCCTTGTGGGGATTTTAGGTCCCCACAAGGATAGACGAACCAACCCACGCACACACTCAGAAAAGCGTCCCTCTGTTCCTTGTGGAAGAGAACACTCTGTGTTAACTGCCCTGTCTTCCTCTGTGAGGTGTTGACATAGTTGTTGACATGCAGCTCGCAGCAGAATAACATGGTGTAGAGAGTGATGGAATGATAGCTGGATATCCTGTCATTCACACAGAGACAGAATGACTCCCACTGTCCTGTTGGAAGGGTTAATGGCCATATCCTAGGACCTTAAAACAGTGATGCAGTTCCTACTGACGTTTCCCTGTGACATTTTCCATGCTTATGTTTAGGATGATGTAATTATTTAACCTACATACACTGAGTGTACAAAACATTAAGGATACATGTTCTTTCCATGACTTAGAATGACCAGGTGAATCCAGGTGAAAGCTATGATCCCTTATTGATGTCACTTGTTAAATTCACTTCAATCAGTATAGATGAAGGGGAGGAGACAGGTTAAAGAAGGATTTTTAAGCCTTGAGACAATTGAGACATGGATTGTGCATGTGTGCCATTCAGAGGGTGAATGGGCAAGACAACAAATGTAAGTGCCTTTGAACAGGGAATGATTGTAGGTGCGAGGCGCACCGGTTTGAGTGTGCCAAGAACTGCAACGCTGCTGGGTTTTTCATGCTCAACAGTTTCCCGTGTTTATCAAGAATGGTCCACCACCCAAAGGATATCCAGCCAACTTGGAGTCAACGTGGGCCAGCATCCCTGTGAAACGCTTTCGACACCTTGTTGAGTCCATGCCCTGACGAATTGAGACCCTTCTGAGGGCAAAAGGGGGGAGGGGTTCATAATGTTTTGTACACTCAGGGTATACTGCCATCTAAATTACTGACACTTGTTTATTTATTGTTTGGGAATATTCATTCAAATCACAAACTGTGCTGTCCATCAGATGAGCTGAGACCCTTGTTTAGAAGCAAAATGATAGCTTCAAGTTCAATTTGCACATGCTCAGAACGTGACTCCGGTTACTTAGACAATAAGAATAGGCGACCGGGTCTCAGAAGCGCAGCCTGGGCCTAGTCTTAGTATTTTGTCTTGAGGTGTGATCCTTGCCTTTCAAGAAAAAAATGATAATAAAACCTGATCTGGACTTGATTGTCAGTGTCCCATGTGGGTTAGTTTGTCCCTCGGATTGGATTGGATGGGATGTGGATGTATGGTTGGGGAGATGGATGGATGTGCCCTGGGCAGGATCAAGGGGTCACGTCACACACGGCTGACCTGAAAGTGTGGTCATCAGACAGGAAGCGTGGTGGCCTCGCAGCTAGCCAGACCCGTTCTTCTTTTTGGCCGTGTTCGAGAGAATCAAAACAGTGATGTATCATGGGTAAATTGTGACTGACTGATTTACAAATAATATAGAGTAGTTATTTGTGATGGAAGGTGATTTGTAGATCAATCAGTCTTCGACACGCCTATAAAATTTGGCTGCAATGATCGAACACTCCTTTTGTCTTTCTGTCCATCCATCTGTCCATCTGCCTTCAGACAAGCTCAGCGTGGCGGTCACCTATACGTCTGCATGCCCATCACATATAGAGCTGTCTGCTTTCGCTTCCTCTCCCTTCTCCACTCCACTCTGCGCTTCTTTCTCATTGTTTGGTTGGCCCCCGGATGGTTGTGTCCTGGAACCATGGTAGCTAACCACTCAAGGTGACAAACGCACATACACCAAAATTATCCCAACCATCAGTCATTTGGCTTCCTCTCCTCCCACTACCGAGGCACAGGTACAGAGAACAGAAGAACCCAACATTACTTCCCATAATTGGCAGACTTCGTCCGTCTCCGATCGAGCGGTGGCGAGAGAGATCCCATCTTAATTGAATGTCGCTCTCGTCGCTAATCTGCCTCTTTTGAAAGCGTCTATTCAGAAGCCCGGCTGACTGAAGAGAGTGTATTAATCAGTCTCCTTACACCCCCACCTCCCCCTTCTTCTTCCCCATGGGTAGAAAGGTTCCTTTTGTCTTCCTCGTTCCTCTGATCGGGGGTGGTCTCCCCACCTCTTAAAGCCTGTTAACAAGCACTTGAGGAGAGACAATGATGCGTGTTGTGCGCCAGCGGAGCCACAGGGCTCAGGAATTGAAGGGTTTGGCTCTGCCCCTAAGGAAGGTATTACAGGATATTAGTGTGGGTGTGTGTGGACCACCAGGGGTGTGTGTCTCACACCGGGAGATTTAGTTGGCTGTTTATATGTGGTTTAGACCCTTAATAACATTTGGTGGACATTAGTAGATAAACATATCTGATGTGAGAATGTGTGAGTGTGAGTGTGTGTGTGTGTTTTAAACTCAGCCCACCACACAGTGACCCAAAAAGTATTTGCATCAACAGATCAAACCAAATACATTCATAAAAATTACAAAGTAATGCTGGAATATCTATCCCCTCACACTGACAATGGAATATTCTGCAGCTGTTACATCTCTTTAGATTCCCCTTCTCCTCCTCTCCTCCTCTCCCTTATGGATGTGTGTCAGGGATAGAGGCCCAAAGAGACCTGTCTGTCACATCAACTGTCAAAGTGTCTAGTCTGAGCTGGATCCTTGCGTCAGTCTTTTCACTGACTCCGTTGCATAAAGAATAAATGGAGCCACATTCAGAATGAACGCTTCCTATCTTTACTAGTCCGTGTACAATGGAGCTTCCACAATAGCTTTAGGTGATGGTGATGGAACTCCATGAGAGTGAGGCCCCAGACTAGACCGCCCACTTGCCAAGGGGCTCTACCCAGGAAAAGAGAGGGTTGAGGGGGCTAGGCTGTCAGGTCTTCCCCTGCTGAGGATCCAGGGGTGGAGAACAGAGGGGGTGTTCTGTTGGCTAAACAAGGGCCTCCTCAGGACTCGGGTGCATGTCACCCAACACCAGTGGGATTATAGTGAGAAGCCAGTAAAGCTACACTGAGCCGCTCTTTCCTGCCTCTGTCGTTAGAGCGCTGGCCGTATGGCAACCTGGGAGGTTCAAAATAAATCTGCTTCCAATAACAGATAAGGTATGAAGGAAAGCAGCTCAATGAGCTTTTGGATTTTATATTAGGCAGCTGTGAAAAATAAATCAAAAACGCACAGACATACTCTGTGTGTCCCTTAGATTGGCCTAACATGTTGTGGGCTGAGTTTAAAACGCACACACAATTATTGTTAACAAATGTAAACATATACAGTACACACAGAGAGATAAAAAAGACAAACATGTTTGCTCTCCTCACAGGAAAATAGGCCGGCGATGTGAAAGAGCCTCAAAGCACCTCTTTACAGGCCCGTTTCCCTGGTGACAAAACCCCAGCACCACTTTCTCTCTCACCGCTCTGTCATAATGACAGACATTTTTCTTTTCTTTTGTCGCCATTTCTTTGTCTTCTCTGTTTCTTTTATTCTTTCATTTGGTAGCCAATTCTCGCTCGCCGTACCACCGGGTCATTTTGTTCACGTTAAGAGTGGGAGGAAGGAGGAGAGAGAAAAAGGGAGAGGAGGAGAGAGAGAGTGAATGGGGGGTACCTCCAGGGATGGGTTATTACTTTTAAATGATCCCCCTGTCGCCCTCCCTCCATCGCTCTCTAGAAGGATGTATAAAAAGGTTATTATGTTTCCTTTTGAAATGGCACTCGCTCTGTCTGTGCCTTTCATGTTCAAATGGAATTACCTCTCTCTGCCTCCCTCTCCTTCCTCGTTCTCTCTTTCTCACCACCTGCTCCTTCTCGCTTCCCATCTTCCTCTCCCTCTTTTTTATTCTTCCTCCCCTCTCCCCTGTTTTTCACCACCTTGGATCCATAATGCAAATATCCCTCTTCATTCGTTTTTGTTTCTCTTTCTCCCTCAACCTCTCCCATACCCCTTATCACCTTTTTCTTTCATCCTCTTTTCCCGCTCTCTCTCTCCCCGTCATCCTCATTCGATGAGTTTCTCTTTCTGTGTGTGTCTATTTCACTCTCAGCATTGTATTTTTATTGACTGCACTATGCTTGTTTCAATATCAAAACAATCTCTCTCTCTGTCTTCCGCTTCATCCTTCAATCTCCCTCTTTCAGAAAGGGGAGGAGGCAAGCCCCCTGTTGCTGGAGGACGGGCGGGAGCAGCTGATGTTCGAGGTGCCCCTGAACGACACGGGCTCGGCCGGCCTGGGCATCAGCCTCAAGGGCAACAAGTCCCGGGAGAAGGGCGAGGATCTGGGCATTTTCATCAAGTCCATCATTCACGGAGGGGCCGCCTACAAGGTACAGAAGCAGGAATGAACTATCTGATGAGCTGTTTTGCTTCTGTCTTTTTTCTATCTCACTGTTTCCTTTCTCTCGGTCGATCTCCCTTTCTCTGTTGTCTGTCTTTTCTTTTTTCCAATTCTCGCTCAGCCTGCTCTCTATCTCTTTCTGTCTCTATCTCCACCCTGGTTCCCTTTCTACTGTCTCTCTTTCCTTCTTTCTTCCACTCTCTGTGCCATCTATTTTTCTCTTTACTCTGATAACCCCAACACTCAGCAGTCCTGCCCACATCTGTTTCAGTTCCCCTGACCTCTGACCCCTGGTGACCCCATTAACCTCGCCCCTCTGGCAGTGTGCTCAGACTTTTGCCAAAGCGGGACCCCCCACCCCCCCGGGTGGATCGGAGTGGGGGCCCTTTCTAGAATCTTCGACTGAAGGCCACACTCCATCTCTGTAGTGCCACTTGGAGTAGATAGATACTCTCTGAACTCCCCTGGTTCCCATCTCTTTAGCTAGATCAGATGAAAGCAGCTGGGCAGGTGTTGTGTCCCTGTGTAGATAAGGCCTGCACTGGGAACAGGGCGATGAGGTACTTGAGCAATACTAGTACATCAGAGCTTCGGTGGAAGCCTCAAACTGGACTTATGAACTCTTCTCTCAGAGGTATTTGGTATTTATTAGGATCCCCATTAGCTGCTGCAAAAGCAGCAGCTACTCTTTCTGCGGTCCACATGAAGCATGACATAATACATAGTACAGAACATTATTAATCAAGGACAGAACTACATCAATTTAAAACATCACACATAGCCTACATCTCAGTACATACACACAATATCTAGGTCTAATACATAATACAGTCCAAATTACTATATAATATATCAAATGGCTGTGTGTCTTCACAGTCCCCTTTGTCCAGTAAGGTGTTCTTTTATACGTTTTTTAAATCTGGTTTTATTGCTAGCTTGACTTACCTTGGGTGGCAGAGAGTTCCATGTAGTCATCGCTCTATTTAATACTTTCTTTTTCCCAGCCTCTGTTCTGGACCTGGGGACTGTGAAGAGAACTCTGGTTGCATGTCTTGTGTTGTACCGATGAGTGTCCGAACTGTGTACCAACTGCTTGAACAGACAGTTCGGTACCTTCAACACATCGATACCTCGCACAAAGACCGATATTGATGCTGTCTATCTCTCATCAACTTTGAGCCAGGAGAGATTGACCTGCATGTTACTGATACTTGCCCTCCGTGTACATCTAAATGCGATACGTGCTGCTTTGTTCTGGAGCAACTGCAATTTACCTATGTCCCTCTTTGCCGCACATGACCACACATCTGGGCAGTAGTCCAGGTGCGACTAAACTAGGGCCTGTAGGACCTGTCTGGTCGACTGACATGTCAAGAAGGCAGAGCAACGCCCTATCATGGACAGACCTCTTCCCATTTTAGCAACCCATTGAGTCTATATGTTTTGACCATGACAGCTTGACCATCACTCCCTCTATCTTCCATCTCCTCTTCTGGTTGCCTTCTCAAAGTGTTTCAGTCCAACCCTTTTCCAAAAACAAGAAACAGGGAAGAAGGGAGATTGAGAGACCGAGAGAGATAAAAAATACAAACTTGGAGCGAGAGAAAGTTGATGAGACATTTATAGCATAAATTGAAAGTGCATGTGTGTGTGGTGTGGGGGGCTGAGGTGTGTGTGTGTCTCTGCTTGTGTGTCTGTGTGTGTTGCCTGTGTCGCAGGCTCCCTCCCTGCGCTGTGTGTGTGTGAATGCTAATTAAAAACTCTAAAGAGGCTAGCTAATGAGCGTGTGCAGGAGGGCTGAGACGCTCGGTCTGTCCCCAGAGTCTCTCTCTCTGGCTGTCACATAGTCTCTCTACAGGCAGCCAAGGGAGGAGAAGCCACAGCCTCACACTGAAACTGGGACCTAACCCAATTCTGACAGTGTGTGTGTGTGTGTTTGTTTGTGTGTGTGTGTGTGTAGGGGGGGGGGGCACGACTTCCTTGTGCAAAGTCCTCACAAGGACAGTAAAACAAGGAAAACAAGTGTGGACATTTTGCCGGTCCCCACAAGGAAAAAGGCAATTTTAGGCTTAGGGGTTAGGGTTACAATTACGGTTAGGTTTGGTGTTTAGGCTAAGGGTTAGGTTTAGGGGTTAGGGAAAATAGGATTTTGAATGGGAATCAATTGTTTGGTCCCCACAAGGATAGTAAAACAAACGTGTGTGTTTGTATCTGACTTCCGGTTTGTGTGTGTCTTTTCAGGTATGTGTGTATGTGCGCTTGCTCGCACACGTATGTGTGATTCTCTCTGTGTGTGTGTGCGCGTGTGGGCTTCTGCTTGCCCGTACGTGTTACTTGGTGTGTGTGTGCGTGCTTGCTTGCATGTCTTCGGAATTGTGTGTGTGTGATCTGATAGGATCAGAAGGTTTTCGGCGGTGTGAGAGGTCAGAGCCTGGCGGGGGCTGCTTAATGACTGAGGTCAGAGGTCAGTGGTGACTAATGGCTTGATGGGGCTGGTGGCACTGGGGAATCTTTAGTACCTCTGGCCATGTCTCTGTATGTCTGTCTGTCGGTCTCTGTCTCTCTCTCTCTCACTCTCTCTCTCGCTTTCTCTTTCTTTCTCTTTTCTACAGGTGTGACTTGGTCTGTAGTAGCTGCTACATTAACATTCTCTCTCCCTCTCTCTCCACCTCCTTGTCTCGCTCTCCTTCTCCTTTCTCTCCCTCTATCAATGTTCCTACCCCTCTCTTTCTCTCTCACTGCTCTCCCCCACCTCTACTATTTCCCACCCACTCCCCTCTCCAGGACGGCCGCCTGCGGGTCAACGACCAGCTGATTGCGGTGAACGGCGAGGCGCTGCTGGGCCGCTCCAACCACGCCGCCATGGAGACCCTGCGCCACTCCATGTCCTGGGAGGGCAATGCCCGCGGCACCATCCAATTGGTGCTCCTCCGCCCCGCCCCCTCATCTGGCTCCGCCCACAACACCACTGCCAATGCCCAGGTACGCTACGAACGGGACAACGAGCTCCGCGGTTCACTACTTCGCCGGCGAGCGTCTGACCCAAGGGGTCTCCGATACAGGCACAGATATATGCAGGGGTCAGCGCAAAGCTATACACTTAGTGATACACACAGGTACACAATGCAAGGGAACTTGCATAGTCAAACACTCGGTAACAGACACGGACACACGCAAGGCGCAGCACACAGCGAGGTACAGAGCAACACACACAGATACTCTGAAGGCAGGGCACAGGTATACACACAGGGGCACACACACAGCTACACGGATGACAACATACAGAGACACACACTCGGCAATGTGCCACACAGCCACACAACAGGCAATGTACAGAGCAACACAGACAGGTCTAGGTCCTTAGACGGCCATGTCCACAGATACACGCAGGAAGGCACACGCAGTCACACACCTGACAACATACACAGGGACACACGCAGTCACACACCTAACAATTTACACAGACCTATATGCAGCCACACACCCGACAAACTATACATTCACACAAGAAGCCAAACACCTGACAACATATACAGTCACACACACAGCCACACACACGACAACATACACAGCTGCACACACAACAACCCACGCAGCCAAACAACCGACAACCTACACAGCCACGCAAACCGTTACACACACAGTCAAACGCATGACAACACACACAGTCACACACGTAGTCACACACCCGACAACATACACATCAGCAACACACATGCATATGTAGAGAGCATAAGGGCGCTGACAGGGGCAATGTACGGTGACCTACACAGACATGACAAAACATACAACCACTTTGACATAAACAGAAACACACCCCAATCCAACTACACACACAACCAGGACCTGATGCGACATCACCACCACAGGCTCTCGGAAGGACCCTGAGAGAACACACACACACGTTTGTGCGTATATTTATATATATGTGTGTGTGTGTGTGTGTGTATGCATTTATTGATAAGTGTGTATTTATGTGAGAGTGTGTGCAGCATGAACTCTTTCCCCTGCCCAAAACTATTCCCTCTTCCCACAATGATCGCCTTCATACAGACAATGACTATTAACCACAAACCCGCTTATCTGCACTACTTATAAATAATGACTGAATTGCGTATTAATTATCATTATTAAGAAGTTACCACTAATTTAGCTGACAATAGTTTTAACTCACAAAAACTGGTGTTTCACTGTCTCTCTTCTAATCTTTGTCTGCAATGCTACTGACAATCTGGCAATATTGCCAATATCCCTGAACTGCTTTTTATACCTATCCTGTTCCTTGTGTTTACTAACTTATTTACTTTCATTATTTTTGTATTGTTCACTTTTCACCAGACCTGTCACTCAATGTTGTGTTTTTAATCTCACAAAAGTCCTTTGTTGAATAAAGTATTCCTAAAGCATTCCTCTTGCATGCTGTCTGTCTGTTTCACTGTGGTGGTATGGTGATTCCTTGCTTTCCACTGGCTAGTACTCCCGTCCTCTCTTTTCCTGATGTTTACAGTGTATTCAGAAAGTATTTTTCCACATCTTGTTACGTTACAGCCTTATTCTAAAATGGATTAAATAGTGTTTTTTTTCACTCATCAATCTACACACGATACCCCATAATGACAAAGCAAAAAAAAAACGGATATATCACCTTTACATAAGTATTCAGACCCTTTACTCAGTACTTTCTTGAAGCACCTTTGGCAGTGATTACAGCCTCGAGTCTTCTTGGGTATGACGCTACAAGCTTGGCACACCTGTATTTGGGGAGTTTCTCCCATTCTTCTCTGCAGATCCTCTTAAGGTCTGTCAGGTTGGATGGGGAGCGTCGCTGCACATCTATTTTCAGGTCTCTCCAGAGATGTTTGATCGGGTTCAAGTCCGGGCTCTGGCTGGGCCACTCAAGGACATTCAGAGACTTGTCCCGAAGCCACTCCTGCGTTGTCCTGTTGGAAGGTGAACCTTCGCCCCAGTCTGAAGTACTGAGCGCTCTGGAGCAGGTTTTCATCAAGGATCTCTCTGTACTTTGCTCCGTTCATCTTTCCCTTGATCCTGACTAGTCTCCCAGTCCCACAGCATGATGCTGCCATCACCATGCTTCACCGTAGGGATGGTGCCAGGTTTCCTCCAGACATGATGCTTAGCATTCAGGCCAAAGGGTTCAATCTTTTCATCAGACCAGAGAATCTTGGTTCTCATGGTCTGACAGTCCTTTAGGTGTCTTTTGGCAAACTCCAAGCGGGCTGTCATTTGCCTTTTACTGAGGAGTGACTTCCGTCTTGCCACTCTACCTTAAAGGCCTGATTTGTTGGAGTGCTGCGGAGATGGTTGTCCTTCTGGAAGGTTCTCCCATCTCCACAGAGGAACTGGAGCTCTGTCAGAGTGACCATCTGATTCTTGGTCATCTCCCTGACCAAGGCCCTTCTCCCCCGATTGCTCAGTTTGGCCAGGCGGCCAGCTGTAGGAAGAGTCTAGGTGGTTCCAAACTTCTTCCATTTAAGAATGATGGAGGCCACTGTGTTCTTGGGGACATTCAATGCTGCAGAAATGTTTTGTTATTCGTTCCCAGATCTGTTCCTCGACACAATCCTGTCTCGGAGCTCTATGGACAGTTCTTTCGACCTCATGGCTTGGTTTTTGTCTCATAGCAAGGGTCTGAATACTTATGTAAATAAGGTATTTCTGTTTTTTATTTTTTATAAATTTGCAAAAATGTATAAAAATGATTGTTTGTAGATTTAATAAATTTTTGAATAAGGCTGTAACGTAACAAAATGTGGAAAAAGTCAAGGGGTCTGAATACTTTCCAAATGCACTGTATACACCTCTCGATCTTTCTTTGGAATTGTTATCTTTCAGTCTCTTTCTTTCTTGGGGCTTATTCTTTCTCTCTCTTCGCTGGGTATTGTCCCTATCCCCCATACTGACCCCTAACAAACAGTCGAGTGGCTCATTCACTCTCAAATTAAGAGGCCAAAGAAATGTGGAAAACCACTTTCCCCTTAGGGTTGATCAAGTTTTCTACTACAGTAGATTTTACTGCACTATCCTCATTCTATAAATATATGCACTTCAGAATTCCACAGTCAGAAAAGGAAAAGCATTATATAAACTGCTATAGCAATATGACAGCAAAGCAGACATGATATGCAGACAGACTACCATACTTAGTTGTTTTTTGCACTACTACCAATTATTTACAAGGCTTTGTTACTGATTTGTACTCATTCTCAGATAATAAAGACGTGAAACGTTTGTGATGTTCCCTAGTGGACAGCTGCATCTTGGGTAATCACAACAGCCATTCAGAACCATTGTGAACCGTGACAGGGTATCTATAAGTGAAAAAAGAAACCGTTACGGTCAGTGTTAATGTCTGATGGGAGGGTAGAATGGAGGGGCAGGGTGGAGAATGAGATGATACAGTAGGGGGTTATGAGATTAAATGGGTGTGACCAATGACCCTCCCCTTTTGTGTCCTCCTGTCTGTCTCTCCTTGGCCACACCCCTTCTGGATGTCAGGCCTGAGGAAAGGGCAGTGGTGTGGTCTTAGGAAATTGGCAAGGGAAATTGTGTGTGTTGGTGCACGATATCCCCACCCCACACCCTTCCAAACCGGCAGGAAAATACCTTGACTGCGTGTGTGTGTGTGTGTGTGTGTGTGTGTGTGTGTGTGTGCTCCCTCAGAGCCTGTAGGAAAATGTGTTAACTGCCCGTGCAGTTCTCACTGCATATCTCGGTAGGCTATATTCACTCAGCAATCCACACACACACACACACACACACACACACACACCAGGTCTAATCTTATCAAACCACGAGACCCCGTGATGAAAGACCAAAGCCTTGAGGGTAGCTCCAGGACCCCCACCTCTCTCTCTAACCCTACCCAACTCAGAGGAGGTGGTGGTGGGGGAAACAGTGTGTGTTTGGTGGGGCGTTCCTCCATAGCCTCATTGTGTTGACCAGCAGGTTGTTATTGTTCTGTGGATTAAGATGTGAGCTCCTCTCTGGCTGCTTTGATGGCTTTGCCTGGCTGTCAAAGACCGATGAGACAGATGGGTGGATGGATGGAACGGTACCGTGTGTGTGTGAGCCATTCTGACAGACTAAGATGTGTGTGACAGTAATACATGTAAAGAGCCGTGGTTGCCACTAATGATGCCATTGGGAACATGTGTGTGTGACTGCACGCAGGAACAAAAGCACCACGGACACCCCCCAAAGCCTAACTCACACTGTGCTACCGAACGCATACAATGAAAATCCCCTTTGATATGAGGATGATGGCATAATGAAAGGAGTTATAACATAGAGACGGTGAGCGCGTTACGCCACTACTGCTCATTACGTATAATGTGACAATGATGCAAAGCCCATAGCCACACACCCACAGAGTTACAGAGAGACAGGGTGTGGGGGATTTTGCATCTATCCATTTATTTGTATGCACGTGTGTGTGTGTGTGTGTGTGTGTGTGTGTGTGTGTGTGTGTGTGTGTGTGTGTGTGTGTGTGTGCCTGCCTGTGTGTGTGACAGCTGTAGATCTAACCACACATCGCTCTCAAAGGAGATTCTTTTATCTACAGTACATCTCACTCTGCCACCAGCTCTCTCTATCTCTCTGTTTGCGTCTCAAATGGCATCCTATTCCCTACATAGTGCACTACTTTTGACCAGGTCCCATAGGGTGCCATTTGGGATGCAGCTTCTATCTGCGTCTCCATCTGCTCCTCTGCGGCGGTGGAGGCTGTCCGATAACACGCCTGTCATCAGCATGAGGGATTAACGTAATTACACTATTTACAACCCTCAACCAAACAGCGAGTCTGTGGTGCAGCAGCTATTGTCCTCTTACTGATGAAACACACTCAAACACAATGTAAGCCAATGGGAAGATTTCTGTTATGATTTCAATATGAAATTGGTAGAGTTCGTACAGTGCATTAGGTAGAGTTTGTGTACAGTGCGTTGATACTGTACAATCGCTGCTTAGACACTGATACTATATCCATGTGAGCCAGTGCATGCTACCGCCAGATAAGCTTGAAAATCAATAGACTCAACAAGCAATTTGATTACTTCCTGTGACTCCCATGAGCATGAGGAAGATTCAGACTGAAGTCAATGGAAGAGTGGCACATTGTTATTTACTCGCATGTTGAGTGTCTAGGTTTTCAAGCTTCTCTGATGCTAGCCCACTTTGGTTCGAACGGAAATAGAATGATAGCGGGTAAGCGGCTACTGTGTCTCCCATAATGGTAGTTATAGATATAGTACTCTGATACTCAAAGATATTGTATGATTGCAATTTGCAAGTACACTTCTACAAAACATATGTGTGTCTATACAATGTACTTATTGTCCCAATAACTGTTCAATTAAGAAGCACATATGTACATTTTTCTCACTCAATGATTTTATGTCCAGTGTCATCCTTCTCATATTTTACATGTACCTCTCACCTGAAAACACTTTCAGTGTCCATCTAATGTAGGAAAAACTGGGCCATTCCATGTCAAGTACTCAGGGAAAACTTTAGGCCCTAATGCAATGCATTGCCCTCTGCTCCTCTCCTCTCCCCCTGGCTGTGACAGGAGAGCCAGGAGGTGGCTAGCCCCCAGAGCCACCAGGTCCCAGACGGCCCTTCCGGACCCCCGGCTCCAGCTACAGCCCTGGAGTCCCACCGCCACAGCAACGGCCCCAGCCCACAGCTGCCCAGCCAGCCGCCCATGGTCCCGAACAACATCTACTACAGCTTTAGAGGTGAGAGGACACAGTAGGGCCTGAACTGGAGAAGAGATGGACACACTCATACTGGTGCTTGACTTACACACACAGAGAGATTAATATAGTATACATATACACACACACACACACACACACACACACACACACAGTCACGCACATACACACACACACGCAAAGATGCACATACACACTCCACTGTTAAGAAAGCTTGCCATGAAACAAAAACTGTGTACAGCGACTTTATCAAAGCAGTTATATACACTGAACAAAAATATAAACGCAACATGTAAAGTGTTGGTCCCATGTTTCATGAGCTGAAATAAAACATCCCAGATATTTTCCATATGCACAAAAAGCTTATTTATTTCTAATTTTTTGCTCAAATTTGTTTGTATCCCTGTTAGTGAGCATTTCTCCTTTTGCCAAAATAATCCATCCACCTGACAGGTGTGGCATATCAAGAATTTGGCAGGAGTGTATTTCCAACCGGCCTCACAACCGCAGACCACATGTATGGCGTCGTGTGGGCGAGCGGTTTCCTGATGTCAACATTGTGAACAAGGTGCCCCATGGTGGCGGTTGGTTTATGGTATCGGCAGGCATAAGCTACGGACAACAAACACAATTTCATTTTGAATGCACAGAGATACCGTGACGAGATCCTGAGGCCCATTGTCTTGTCATTCATCCGCCACCATTACCTCATGTTTCAGCATGATAATGCAAGGCCCATGTCACAAGGATCTGTACACAATTCTTGGAAGCTGTAAATGTCCCAGTTCTTCCATGGCCTGCATACTCACCAGACATTGAGCATGTTTGGGATGATCTGGATCGACGTGTAGAGCAGCGTGTTCCAGTTCCCGCCAATATCCAGCAACTTCACACAGCCATTGAAGAGGAGTGAGACAACATTCCACAGGCCACAATCAACAGCCTGATCAACTCTATGCGAAGGAGATGACTCTCTGCATGAGGCAAGCGGTGGTCACCAGATACTGACTGTTTTTCTGATCCATGCCCCTACTTTTTTTTTAAGTCATCTGTGACCAACAGATGCATATCTGTATTCCCAGTTGTGTGGAATCCATAGATAAGGGCCTAATGAATTTATTTCAATTGAGTGATTTCCTTATGTGAACTGTAACTCAGTAAAATCTTTGAAATTGTTGCATGTTGGGTTTATATTTTGGTTCAGTGTGTGTATGTATATATATATATCATCACAGCTTTCAACCACCCCATCTCCTCACGACCAACCACATACTACAGACATTATGCCTGCTGTTTGCAAATGTACCATGTCCCACCTATTCCAACGCACTCCATTTCACTTCACTTTCATACTTGACTTCATCTGCACCGATTTATGGCGAGGGGGGGACTCATTAGCCGTGTTTTTCCCAGTACGTATCTCCCTCGCTTTCATGTGCAAAGTTCTGACCTTGGAATCGTTATGCTGATGAAATGGCTTCTAAGTGGGCCAGATTTGCATACGGACTATTGTGCGAGCAGCAGAAGAGAGGACTACAAACTTTTACATTCATTCTTTGGCTTTTTTTTTTACCTCCCCCGGAGATTGCAGGAAGCCCTCAAAGCCAGTGCTTTCAGATAAAACAGAAAAATAAAGGTTGGGCATAGAAATACAGTAGTTACTGTTTGCTGTGGCAGTGTAGGAGGTATTGTCATGTGTAGTAGTACCTAGTGGAAATGCTCACAACATTATATGGGCTTAGCTTTATCCACTGATATTCACGTACTGCTCAATTTGACACAATTCCTACATGCCGCTGTAGCTTGTCTGTCTCCTACTCTAACAGACTTAGGCAGGTGTTTGTGTGCTGTGTTTGTGTGTGTGTGTGTTCTGTACATGTTTCGTGATGCGTACAGAGTTGACCTTGCCAAGCTACATGAAGTATCGATCCATCATCCAAGGAGAATCAGTTACATTAATTTCCATTGTGTGTGTGTATGTGCGTGCGTGCACTCAGTTGAATATCCATCCCTCAATACTGTTTAGCTCCGTCAGATGATTGAGTGTGTGTAGGTCTACTGCATCACTCTCCTAGGCAGGCAGTCTCACAGACAACTAGCATTGGCACAGCTTCTAACGCGATGGCTGTATACCAAATGGCACCCATAGGGCTCAGAAGTAGTGCACTATATAGGAAATAGGGTGCCATTTGGGACAGATCCCATGCCTCCTGTCTCAGTGGCCCTTCATAAAAAGTGATGACTGCTTTAGCTCCAGCCAGAGGAAGATATATTTTTCCTCTTATAACAGGACTGTCACTTTTGGCAAGTGTGAGTCTGCATTGACATGGCATAGACCTCATCCATGTGTCTGAGATGTAATGTGTGCTTGACACAGTGGTAGTAGAGTAGAAGAGACCTGTCAGCACTGATCTAGGTTCAGCTGAAACCACCCTCAATCCTAACCGTAGTCTTTAGGGTGATAAACTCAAAACTGACCTTAGATCAGTGTTCATGAAACACTCCAGCCTACTCTATTAAAAGGCGTTGGTCACTGGTGGAATTTCTGATTGATGTGTGGCTGTCTGTGCTGTTCGTCCCTATCCTCTCCCCGTCTAGCTCCTCCCACTAACGGTGGCCACGCCCATTACAAAGAAGAGGAGGAGATGGAGGAGGATTTCCCCCCGCCACCTTCGACTGGCGCCGTGGAGGAGATGAACGCCAAACTCCAAAACACAACACACCCTCACCGGAGGTAATCACACTGTGGCCCCGTTTGAATTCCAGACCAGGTCAAAAGTAGTGCACTACATAGGGAATAGATTGCCATTTGGGATGCATTCCTTATAAAGTTCCTTTAAAATTAGACATGGGTCATATTCATTAGTGCACACCGTAGCAAAACTTTCTGCAACGGAAAACGAAAACAAAGGTTTCTTATTGGACAAAGGTAGGTCCAAGGTAAGTCCCTCCCTGCTTCGGCCCATATGCTTCCGTTTGGTTCCTAGTGAATACGACCATGATTGGATAGGTGAATGCAAGGGTTCCACCACGTACTGTAGCTTTCACCTGTCCAGTCTTTTCAAATCAGTGATCTATGATTCAGCTTAGATCATGACACAACTAGGTTATACACTGAGTATTATTATTATTTATTTATATTATTAAGAACACCTGCGCTTTCCATGACAGACTGACCAGGTGAATCCAGGTGAAAGCTATGATCCCTTATTGATGTCACTTGTTAAATCCACTTCGCTCAGTGTAGATGAAGGGGAGGACACCGGTTAAAGAAGGAATTTTAAGCATTGAGACAATTAAGGCATGGATTGTGTATGTGTGCCATTCAGAGGGTGAATGGGCAAGACAAAAGATCTAAGTGCCTTTGAACGGAGTATGGTAGTAGGTGCCAGGCGCACCGGTTTGTGTCAAGAACTGCAATGCTGCAGGGTTTTTCATGCTCAACAGTTTCCCGTGTGTATCAAGAATGATCCACCACCCAAAGGACAGCCAGCCAACATTGGAGTCAACGTGGGCCAGCATTCCTTTGGAACGCTTTTGACACCTTGTAAGAGTCCATTCCCCGACGAATTGAGGCTGTTCTGAGTGCAAAAGGGCGGGGTGCAACTCAATATTAGGAATGTGTTCCTAATGTTTGGAATAGTCCGTGTATTTAGCTTATGCTGTTGAACGGTGATATACAGGATCATATAACTCCCGATTGGCGCAGTGGTCTAGCTGTGCCACTAGAGATCCCGGTTCGAATCCAGGCTCTGTCGTAGCCGGCCGCGACCGGGAGACCCATGGGGCGGCGCACAATTGGCCCAGTGTCGTCCAGGGTAGGGGAGGGAATGGCCGGCAGGGATGTAGCTCAGTTGGTAGTGCATGGCGTTTGCAACGCCAGGGTTGTGGGTTCGATTCCCACGGGGGACCAATATGAAAAATAAAATAATGTATGTACTCACTAACTGTAAGTCGCTCTGGATAAGAGCGTCTGCTAAATGACTAAAATGTAAATATTTAGAGTTGTCATTATACTAGTATATATTTTTTATTGGGGAACAAAACAAATGTTGTAAACACACTCAAAAGTCACATTTGTTGTCACCCAAAGCCACGTTTGTTTTTCCCAAGCTATTTCACTATCATTATGGATAATCATGAATGAATTATGAATAATGTTGAGTGAGAAAGTTAGAGGAACAAATATTATAATCCCCCCAAAATGGGGGGGAGGGTATGATCTTTGTGATTGGTGAATTTGTCCAAATACTTATGACACCTTCAAATGGGGGGGAATAAGAACATAAAATACATTCATTTATAAATGGGAAAACAGATCTGTATGAAAATACCCTCAAATATAAAATGACATTCTGTACTTCCGCCTCGTATACTGTAAAACATTTGACCTCAAATCCAAAATGCTGGAGTATAGAGCCAAATTAAACGTTTTAGCTTCACTGTCCAACAAAATTATTACATAGCTCAGGTTCAAGTTATATCTTGATTACATGTAAAATATTATTTAATATATTGGCACGTGTAACATTTTTAAAAATGCTTGGAAATATGTTTCCCCTATATTCATTTAGGTGGCCCACTGCTGCAAAATTCTTGCCACTGCTACAAAAAAGATGATGTAAATGTTGTATAATAATTTTTGCCAAGACGCGCTTTTAAATGTATAGTCGTTGGCTCAATGACTGGAAGTCTAGAGAAACAGCTAGCATGTTATTGCTCTAACGCTAGTAGCAATGCACCCCCCACCCCCACCCTTGCCACCACTGCTGGAAAATAAAAATCACTGAAAGTATATTTACATAAAATAGAGTTAAACATTAAAATAGGACAGAACAAAAGTACAGGCTACAATGTTAGTAGTGTTGATTATAATTCGGTGTTTTATTTTCTCAGTGAGTGGAACAAGGCCCCCTATATTCCTGAGGGTCCCCTTCACCCAGACACACAGACAGCACAGCAACCCAGACAGACGGACAACCCTCGGACAAGGAACTCTAAGAGCATGGACCTGGGTGAGCACACACACATGCACACAGCGTTGCATGCACTCACACACAGTCCGATATGGAGTGATTTCAGTGCCAACAGAGATTGTATTTGAATTCCATAGTTTTGAATTGGTATTAAGATATTGAATTTGAATATTTCTTGTTTTTTTAAATCATTTAATTCATAAATTCAATATTGTATTTCATGATTTGAAACTGAATTGAATGAATATCAATAACATTTATATATTCAATTTCAGTATGGTAGATATTTATTTCATTATCTGTGTTTCAAGTGTACAAACTATATATAATTTCAAGTTTACCAAAGTTTCATACAGTGCCTTGCAAACGTATTCAGACCCCTTAGATTTCTTCACATTTTATACACATTTTACTGTATATATATATATATATATATATATATACATACATACACTGAACAAAAATATAAACACAACATTTAAAGTGTTGGTCCCATGTTTCATGAGCTGAAATAAAAGATCCCAGAAATGTTCCATATGCACAAAAAGCTTATTTCTTTCAAATGTTGTGCACAAATTTGTTTACATCCCTGTTAGTGAGTTTTCTCCTTTGCCAAGATAATCCATCCACCTGACAGGTGTGGTATATCAAGAATTGGATTAAACAGCTTGATCATTACACAGGTGCACCTTGTGCTGTGGACAGTAAAAAGCCACTCTAAAATGTGCAGTTTTGTCACAAAACACAATGCTACAGATGTCTCAAGTTTTGAGGGAGCGTGCAGTTGGCATGCTGACTGCAGGAATGTCCACCAGAGCTGTTGCCAGAGAATGTAATGTTAATTTCTCTACCGTAAGCCGCCTCAACGTCCTTATAGAGAATTTGTTAGTAGGTCCAACCTGCCTCACAACCGCAGACCATGTGTATGGCGTGTGGACGAGCAGTTTGCTGATGTCAATGTTGTGAACAGAGTGCCCCATGGTGGCTGTGGGGTTATGGTATGGGCAAGCATAAGCTACGAACAACGAGCACAATTGCATTTTATCGATGGCAATTTGAATGCACAAAAATACCGTGACGAGATCCAGAGGCCCATTGTGAGGCCCATTTTTTTGAAGGTATCTGTGACCAACAGATGCATATGTGTTCCCAGTCATATGAAATCTGTAAATAAGGGCCTAATGAATTTATTTCAATTGACTGATTTCCTGTAACTCATTAAAATCAATGAAATTGTTACATTTTGTGTTTATGTTTTTGTTCAATACATATATAATATGTATTTTTTTATAAATAAATAATTCATAACCAAAATATAGTAATTGCATAAGTATTCAATTTAACAAATCACATAAATTACAGTGGGGGAAAAAAGTATTTAGTCAGCCACCAATTGTGCAAGTTCTCCCACTTAAAAAGATGAGAGAGGCCTGTAATTTTCATCATATGTACATGTCAACTATGACAGACAAATTGAGGGAAAAAAATCCAGAAAATCACATTGTAGGATTTTTAATGAATTTATTTGCAAATTATGGTGGAAAATAAGTATTTGGTCACCTACAAACAAGCAAGATTTCTGGCTCTCACAGACCTGTAACTTCTTCTTTAAGAGGCTCCTCTGTCCTCCACTCGTTACCTGTATTAATGGCACCTGTTTGAACTTGTTATCAGTATAAAATACACCTGTCCACAACCTCAAACAGTCACACTCCAAACTCCACTATGGCCAAGACCAAAGAGCTGTCAAAGGACACCAGAAACAAAATTGTAGACCTGCACCAGGCTGGAAAGACTGAATCTGCAATAGGTAAGCAGCTTGGTTTGAAGAAATCAACTGTGGGAGCAATTATTAGGAAATGGAAGACATACAAGACCACTGATAATCTCCCTCGATCTGGGGCTCCACGCAAGATCTCACCCCGTGGGGTCAAAATGATCACAAGAACGGTGAGCAAAAATCCCAGAACCACACGGGGGGACCTAGTGAATGACCTGCAGAGAGCTGGGACCAAAGTAACAAAGCCTACCATCAGTAACACACTACGCCGCCAGGGACTCAAATTCTGCAGTGCCAGACGTGTCCCCCTGCTTAAGCCAGTACATGTCCAGGCCCATCTGAAGTTTGCTAGAGTGCATTTGGATGATCCAGAAGAGGATTGGGAGAATGTCATATGGTCAGATGAAACCAAAATATAACTTTTTGGTAAAAACTCAACTCCTCGTGTTTGGAGGACAAAGAATGCTGAGTTGCATCCAAAGAACACCATACCTACTGTGTAGCATGGGGGTGGAAACATCATGCTTTGGGGCTGTTTTTCTGCAAAGGGACCAGGACGACTGATCCGTGTAAAGGAAAGAATGAATGGGGCCATGTATCGTGAGATTCCATCAGCAAGGGCATTGAAGATGAAACGTGGCTGGGTCTTTCAGCATGACAATGATCCCAAACACACCGCCCGGGCAACGAAGGAGTGGCTTCGTAAGAAGCATTTCAATGTCCTTGAGTGGCCTAGCCAGTCTCCAGATCTCAACCCCATAGAAAATATTTGGAGGGAGTTGAAAGTCCGTGTTGCCCAGCGACAGCCCCAAAACATCACTGCTCTAGAGGAGATCTGCATGGAGGAATGGGCCAAAATACCAGCAACAGTGTGTGAATACCTTATGAAGACTTACAGAAAATGTTTGACCTGTGTCATTGCCAACAA